AAAAAAAAAAAAAAAAAATTGCTCGGCCTTAAGAACGGATTTGGGCCAGGTCCAGTGGCTCATGCCTATAATTCTAGCACCTCGGGAGGTAAAAACAGGAGAATCCCTTGGGCCCAGGAGGCTGCACTGAGCTGTGATCGCGGCACTGCACTCCAGTCTGGGCAACAGAGTGAGACTCTGTCTCAATAATAATGATAATAATAATATAATAATGAAAGAGTGGATTTGGAAGGTAAAGAAGCCGGGGCATCTCAGAGGTAGAGCAGCCTGAAGCAACAGCTGGGAGGTAGGACTTGGGCCGGCTGGAGGACCAGCCCCCGTGACTCTTCCCTCCTCCCCAGCAATGACATCGCCCTCATCAAGCTCTCACGCAGCGCCCAGCTGGGAGACGCCGTCCAGCTTGCCTGCCTCCCTCCTGCTGGTGACATCCTTCCCAACGAGACACCCTGCTACATCAGCGGCTGGGGCCGTCTCTATAGTACGTGCTGACTCCTCTAGCTGGCCGCAGGGCCAGTAGCAGGAAGACAGGGCGTGGGGCTGCAGGTTGAAGGTAACACCAGGACTGGTCCTTGTACTTTCCTCCCGTTTCTCTCCAGCCGCAGCCTTCTCCCACCGGCCTCCAAAACATGAATGTGCTCAATTGCACATGTTTTGGTGCCTCCTGTGTGCCAGGTGCTGGGGATGTCATGGTGCACAAAGCATGCGGGACCATGTAGCAGGTGGGAGGAGAGTCCTCATCAGGGCGGAAGAGCTGTGCGGCTTGAATGCCGCTTTCCTCCGGGGCTCCTGGCCCTGCGCGCCCCAGACCCCTGACTCAGTGCTTTCTATCCCTGCAGCCAATGGGCCGCTCCCGGACAAGCTGCAGCAGGCCCTGCTGCCCGTGGTGGACTATGAGCACTGCTCCAAGTGGAACTGGTGGGGTTCCTCTGTGAAGAAGACCATGGTGTGTGCTGGAGGGGACATCCGCTCCGGCTGCAACGTGAGTCATCTCTTACCTGCCCGAGGCGGTGCTAGGTGTGCAGGACCTTGGAATGGGGCCGTCTGCCTGGAAGGTGGAGAAAGGATCTCGCCCGCTTCCCCCATTCAGCCTCCAGGCCAGGCAGGACGTGGAGAAAGTCAACGTAGTCCAGACACAGAGCTCAGGCCCTGGTGGGAGTCAGGATCCCTGGGTTGCAGTCTCAGCTCACACACTGACATGACTTTGGACAAGTCACTGTCCCTACCTGGTCCTCAGGCTTCCCCATCAGCACAGCAGGAGATACTGGTACCATGACCTTTAATGCCAAGTCGACTCTGTGGTTCTAAAGTTATAATTAACATTAAGAATACTATCATTGTGCTGGGCACAATGGCTCGTGCCTATAATCCAAGTGCTTTGGGAGGCTGAGGCGGGAGGACTGCTTGAGGCCAGGAGTTTGCAATTAGCCTGGGTAACATCGTGAGATGCCTATCTACAAAAATAATTTTTTAAAATTAGGCATGGTGGCACTCTTTAGTAGTCCCAGCTACTGGAGAGGCTGAGGTGGGAGGATTTTTTAAGTCTGGGAGTTCAAGCTTACAGTGAGCTGTGATTTTGTCAGTGCACTCCAGCCTGGGCAACAGAGCAAGAAATCATTTTTTTTTGAGACCGGATCTTGCTCTGTTGCCCAGGCTGGAGTGCAGTGGCGCCATCACAGTTCATCATACCCTTGCCCTCCTGGGCTCAAGCAATCCTCCCACGTCAGCCTCCTGAGTAGCCGGGAGTACAAGTGCACACCACAATGCCTAATTTTTAAATGTTTTGTAGAGACAAGGTCTCATCATGTTACCCAGGCTGGTCTCTAGCTCTTGGGCTCAAGTGATCCTCCTGCCTTGGCCTTCCAAAGTGGTGTGTTTACAGATGCAAGCCACTGTGCCTAGCCAAGACCTTGTCTCTTAAAGACAAAAAAAGAATACTATCAAAAACCCTCACTGTGTTATAATTGAGTATGAATTAATAATAAGGCAGGGTGCGGTGGCTCACACCTGTAATCCCAGCATTTTGGGAGGCCAAGGTTGATGGATCACAAGGTCAAGAGATCGAGACCATCCTGGCCAACATAGTGAAACCCCATCTCTACTAAAAAATATAAAAATTAGCTGGGCGTGGTGGTGCGAGTCTGTAGTCCCAGCTACTTGGGAGGCTGAGGCATGAGAATTGCTCGAACCTGGGAGGCCTGGTGCCTGGCAACAGAACGAGACTGTCACAAAACAACCAACCAAACAAAAAAATTATCTGGGTGTGGTGGCAGGTGCCTGTAATCCCAGCTACTTGGAAGGCTGAGGCCGGAAAATCTCTTGAACCTGGGAGGTGGAGGTTGTGACAAGCTGAGATTGCACCCTTGCACTCCAGCCTGGGCAATAAGAGTGAAACTCCGTCTCAAATTAAAAATAAAATAAAAAATATAAACAAATGAGCAAGCTCAAGCTCAGAGGGGTCAAGTAATGTTGGAATTTCTCAAAGTCCCTGAAGTTCAAAACCAGTTCCATAAACCTCAGACAAGGCTCATTCCCCCACCCCTCTCGGACGGTTCCAGGGTGACTCTGGGGGACCCCTCAACTGCCCCACGGAGGATGGCGCCTGGCAGGTCCATGGTGTGACCAGCTTTGTTTCTGCCTTTGGCTGCAACACCCTCCGGAAGCCCACGGTGTTCACTCGAGTCTCGGCCTTCAACAACTGGATTGAGGAGGTGAGGAGGTCAGGGCAGCTGGGAGGGCTCCAGGGTGGTGGCTCTCCTGAGAGGTGACAGGTGAGAAACACTGGATCTGGGCGGGGCCTGAAAGGATCCTAGCAGCTCAGTGGGGAGGGGCCCTTGGGCGCATTCCAGAGGGGCTCAGGGATGTTTTCTGCTACAGTGAGATGGTTTCTGGGTGGAGCTAGGAACTCCAGCTGAACCTCCTTATTTCAGCAAGTATTTATAAAGTATCTCCTCTGGTCTTGTCCTCTCTTGTCAGGGAGGATAGAGAGACATGCCAGACAAGAGGCTGCCTGGTGGGGGACAGGCGATTACATGAATGATAATGATGAAGTCTGATGAGAGCCAAGGGCGGGGAGCTCAGGCCCCAGACCTCATCTGGGGATGGGCGATCAGAGAGGACTAATAGTGCTCGTGGTAACAGTAATAGCTAAACCAAAAGAAAAAAAGAGTAAGAGCCAGGAGCAGTGGCTCACACCTGTAATCACATCACTTTGGGAGGCCGAAGTGGGTGGATCATGAGGTCAGGAGTTCAAGACCAGCCTGGCCAAGATGGTGAAACCCCATCTCTACTAAAAATACAAAAATTAGCTGGGCGTGGTGGCAGGCACCTGCAGTCCCAGCTACTCGGAGAGTGAGGCAGATAATTGCTTGAACCTGGGAGGTGGAGAATGCAGTGAGCCAAGACTGAGCCAGTGCTCTCCAGCCTGGGCAGCAGGGCAAGACTCCATCTCAAAAAAAAAAAAAACCAAAAAACTGGTCAGTGATACTACAGGTGATGCCCACCTGTAGTCACAGCTACTCAGGAAGCTGAGGCAGGAGGATCGCTTGAGCCCAGGAGTTCTGGGCTGTAGTGAGCTATGCCCACCAGGTTGTGCACTAAATTTGACATCAATGTGCTGACCTCCTGGAAGTGGGGACCACCGGGTGGCCTAAAGAGAGGTGAACTGTCCAGGTCAGAGATGGAGCAGGTCAAAACTCCCATGCTGATTAGTAGTAGGATCACACCTGTGAATAGCCATTCTACTCCAGCCTGGGCAACATAGCAAGACCCCATCTCTTAAAAAAAAAAAAAAAAAAAAACCAGTAGTGCTCGCTTTGGCCGCACATATACTAAAATTGGAACAATAGAGATTTGCATTGGCCCTGAGGAAGGATAACATGCAAACTCATGAAGCTTCCATTACAAAAAATTTATTTTTTTGTTTCTTTTTTTTTAATTTTATTTTTATTTTTATTTTTATTTATTTATTTTTTTTGAGACGGAGTTTCGCTCTTGTTACCCAGGCTGGAGTGCAATGGCATGATCTCGGCTCACCGCAGCCTCCGCCTCCTGGGTTCAGGCAATTCTCCCGCCTCAGCCTCCAATTCTCCCGCCTCAGCCTCCTGAGTAGCTGGGATTACAGGCACGTGCCACCATGCCCAGCTAATTTTTTGTATTTTTAGTAGAGACAGGGTTTCACCGTGTTGACCAGGATGGTCTCGATCTCTTGA